CATTCTCCCCAGCCCACACACAATCATATCTCGCATCATACGTCGGGACGCACCCGGCCACGTATGGGGTCTGTCAACATCCGAGGAGGTACATAGGGTAGTGCATATAGCACTGCAAACTAACATTCCACTATAAAATCCATACATAATTTATACATTAAATTTTAATAATATAAACACCTAGCATCCGATAATTCCCCATAATCCCCATAACATCAGGACCTGTCTCTATGGTCATTCTAACCCTCCTGGGAAGGTAGAACTATCCCAAGGGTCTCACAGTCAACCCAGGGTCAAACTACCCAACCTTGGTCAAACGAGCCGCAGGGCCCACGACCTCCAATTTCCGATCCGAAGGTTCCTATAGGTTCTACATGCTCTAGGATGCACGTCCTGCAAGTTTGGTCCAGATCGGACGGTCGGATCGCTCACGATCGCACGACCGGACAATTTCCATAAACTTAACACTAGGGTTGGCATTTCCGGAGTATCCGGGACTCCGTTTTACAATCCGTCGAATCCTACACGATCCTGGTAATAACTAGATCAACATATTATAACTTCAGGACCATCCAACGGTCCAAACCTAGCGAACCCGGAAAATACGCGATATGCGATATCCGTTCGGGACTCTAACGGTACCCAAAATGAAATAAAAGTCCGGCCCCACCTCCGCGCTCGTGAGAACCAAGAGATAATTTTAGAACCTAAAGCCGGTCCATTTTCCTAGCCCACGCGCCGCCACACGCGCCGGCAGCGCGTGGGTGCCTTGAGTAATTTCCGGCGGCCAGAAAACTCCAAACCGCCGGCCAAGCTTCCTATCCTAGATGTAAAACCCTATTCTGAGCCACTTTTGTTCTTGGGCGTACCCAAAAATCTGACTGGAAGTGGCCGGAATCGTGAACCCAAAACCGGCCGAACCCTAACTCGAAAATCAGATAATCTAGGCTCAAAATTAACGAAATCCTACCCATCCATCAGCTAGATCATGAGGAAAGGATAGATTTCCATACCTGGATCGCCAAAAATGGCTGCCGGACGACGGAGAACGAAGCCGGTGAAGTTTTTGTCAAAACCGGAACTTTTCTCCTCGTTTTCCGGCGAAATCACGGCTGCTGGAGGCGGGACCTGGCCGGGGTAGGAAGAGGACGGCGGCCCGGTCATTTTGGTACCGGCCCCGTCGACTTTGGTGGCCGGATGAGCGAACGGCCGGCCAAAACGTGGCCGGCTGTCTCAGCCGTTGCGAACCAGAGGAGAGAGAGAGGGACGCGCGGGAGAGAGAGAGTGTGAGAGAGAGAGACGGGGCAATTCCGTCTTTTAACCAAAAATCCATTTTCCAAATATTTACGATTATGCCACTGAGCTTCATTTGATCATATCTCTCTCGTTACAACTCCGATTCGAGCCCACTACGTGTCTACGGACTCATCTCACCGTGCTCTACGCAACGGTACAACCGGAATTCCCAAATTCCTTCCGGATAAGAAAATGACTAAAATACCCCTATCCCACGGGTAATTTCTCAATTCCACTTAAATAAATTAAAACATGGGATAAATTTGGGGTCGGGGTGTTACAATTTATAGGGCCTTACTCCAAAGAGGGGGTTTGGAAATAGTTTCCAACCAGCAATAGACGTGCCTCGGTTAGAACCTCATAAGCTGCGTCATTGCCCCAAGCGCAAAGATACTTCAATCATTGGCTTCCGCTCGCTTTTATACCACTACAGCAACTCAGCCTTTTCGGCTCTGTTGATGTGGGACTACAACTTCTTCTTTCACACATAACCATCGCATGTTTGGCTAATAATTGTAAATGCCGATGTGTAAAATCTAGAAGATGAATGTTGTTTCTTGTCTTAGCTTGTGATACATACCAATTTGGAATGTGAAATGCCGCCTTTCTCTTTACCAAATTTTAATCAATTTTTCACTTTCCTAAATTTGAGTTTATACATCTGCATTTAAAGATTACAAAAGACTACATAAAGCAAGAGAAGTAGGCTTATTATTAACTTAACAATTTTGACAACGCTGCAACTAGAGAAAGACCACAAGGTAAGTTGAACAATACAATGAAACAGGACTAATTTGAGAACACAAATCCACATCCTTAGCTTTTTGTTCTCTAAATTTAAGGAAAAGCCTGAATAACAGATTGGACAGCATGAATCGGTGTAATAGTGTGTCGGCTAAAGCCAGCCTCACCAAGAACATATCCCCATTCCTTCAAGGTCCTTTCTTTTCCTGTGCTATTATGGGCCATCATCACCATGTCTAGCATCAATCTTACATTTGTTAGCTTGCTGTCCTCTTTCTCATCTTTTTCATCGATAACCGCTTCTATGATTATCACCTTCCCTTTATCCTCAGGAATAGCTTCCCTGCACTTCTTAAGGATACGGATGCACTCATCGTCGCCCCAGTCGTGAAGAACCCACTGCAATTCACGAAAACAGAATCAGAGTATCCATTGTCATAATGCTTTGTTGAGCAAGATAACTTGTAGTAAGATAACCAGGGAGTGATGGCAGAGGAACCACATTTTTTCTTATCCCATTAGCGCAGACAAATGATGTAATAAGTAGACATTAACAGATAAATCAAATGATGAAACTAATAGCTCACAGGATGAATGAAAAATATAAACGTGTTGATGCTAGCTATTTTAAAGCTGCTCTTCCTTAAATGGTTTAGTTTTCTTGATTTCTTTTAACTATATACATATGATACATATATATATATATATGTATACTAACCTTCATAATTACTGCGTCAACCTTTGGAACAAATTCAAACATGTCACCTCCAACATTCTCAATGCGGTCACACTCCTGAGCAAGAGACACAACATGAGGAAGATCAAAGTTGATACCTCGAATCCAAGGACATGCCTCAATTAACAACCGCAAAGTAGTCCCATCGCCCCCGCCCACATCTACAATTGTCTCAATCCCTTTGAACACCTCTGAACAACTTTCAATCACTGCAGGCACAGTCACCCTTGCATCACAAGCCATTGCTTCATTGAAAAGCTTGCTGTGATCAGGATTGGCCGCGGCATAGCTCCATACATCCTCTCCATGTACTGCTTCAAATGCTGGATTGCTAATACCTTGAATTCGAGCACTTAGGCCATGAAACGGTGCCAGCATTACCGGGCTATTCTCTAGCAAAATGAAAGCTGCCATGCTGTTTTGTCCGGATTTCAATAGCCGTTTGGACAAAGGTGTTTGTGCATAAACTTCGGGGCCTAATTGGGTTGTTGGTTTTTCTTTGAATATTTTGAGGTGGACTAGGACCCTCATGATGCGATAAAGGGGAGAAGGATCACATCTTAGAGCAGATGATAGCTCTAGGAGTGTCATGGGGCTACCATGGCTTTCAATTGCATCAGCTATTCCAAGCTCAATGGCACATTTTACCACTGCGATTTCGGCAAACCCGAACACATATTTCCAGATTTCCAGTTTGGCATGTTCTTCTTCTTTCTCTTCTCCTCCTAACTCTCTTTGTTTATCATCCATCTCTTTCTGTGTGTGTCATAGGCTCTAAGGTAACAATATATAATTTGCAGGAAGAGGTTGAACAGTTTCTATTGTTTTGATTTATTTTTTAAATTAAATTAATCAAGAAAAGTGGAAAGTTTGTTGAGTTAATAAATAGAATAAGACTAAATCAGGAAAAATCTTATTAAAACATTGTTTCTCTCTCATAATATTGTCATCAATTGTAAAAGAAGTTGTAGTCCCACACGGATAGAGCGGAAAAGGCTGAGTTGCTGTAGTGGGATAGAAGCGAGAGGAAGCAAATGATTGAAGTACAATTGCGCTTGGGACAATGACGCAGCTTATGAGGTTCTAACCGAGGCGCGTCTATTGCTGGTTGAAAACTATTTCCAAACCCCCTCTTGGGCCTTGGTTCAGCCATGTTCCCTTCAGAAATTCTGGAAGGGCTCTCTTTGGAGCAAGGGTTTAGCCGCTTAAAAGAGTATAACCGGTCGGTTATACTATTTTAAAAAATTATTAAAAAAATGGAGAGAAACGTTAATAAAAGCCAAGTATAGCCGGGCGGCTATACTATTTATCCAACAGTCAATTTTGAAGTAGGTAAGAGCGGGAGCCAATGCAGGGAGTAGTCGATTTTGAAGTAGGTAAGTAGGTAAGAGCTGGGGCCAATGCAGGGAGTAGTCAATTTTGAAGTAGGTAAGTGCTGGGGTCAATTTTGAAGTAGGTAAGAGCTGGGTTCAATTTTGAAGTAGGTAAGAGCTGGGGCCAATGCAGGGAGTGAACAACTTCTTTCACGGAAACTTGTGAGAACAACTTCTTTCATGGCCTAATATTGCACATCTCTTTCCTTCAGGGAATCATGTTTCCCATAAATGGCTCCCTGGAATTCACATACATTATCTCAACCACAAACACTTGTATTCATTTCCTTCAATAATGCCTCTATGGAATTAGCAGTGCGATATCAAAATCAAATCATTTAGAAAATTGAATATAAGAAGATAATAATACTATATTTTTAAAATTAAAAAAAAAATCAAAAAAACCGAGTATAGCCGCTCGGCTATAAGAAAGAGAGGACTGGCCTTGCGATTAGGCGTCCATGTGTCAAAATAAGTATAGCCGCACAGCGATACTTTTTAAAAAAAGTAATAAAACAGAGTATAGCCGCGCGGCCATACTATTTTGAAAAAAAATAGGGAGCAAAGCTGCTGCTTGATAACTCCCCATACCCCACACACACACAACATAAACCAACCCCCCCTCCCCTCCCCTCTTATTCATTTCCTTCAATAATGCCCTATGGAATTAGCAGTGCGATATGAAAATCAAATCATTTAAAAAATTGCATATAAGAAAATAATAAATCAAGTTCATACATGGTCAGTGGGAATTCAATTGTTACAAATGGAAAGTGATCCACATATTTTAATCAGAGTATTGCAAGGATTCCGATCTCCTCATTAGTGTCTTTTTCTTTTTTTCCGGGTGAATAAAAGCAAACTACTCAGAGTGATTTAAACAAACCATCCAAGTCTTAGGAACAGCCAACAAATCATCATTGACCAAAAAAAAAAAAAAAAAGCAAGTCATCTAAAAGTTTTGAAACACTACATACAGGAGCATAATCACACACACATAGGCCCAAATCGAAGTTACAGCTCAAGTTTATACAATCAGCCACCCCATTCTTCTCTCTGTAAACATGGAGGACTGAGCAGTTACCAATCTGTTATGGATAAGGAGAACAGCTGCAGCGGAATCCATTTCAATCACAAGGTTCCCTATTACCTTTGTCATTGCAAGCTGCAAACCCAAAGAAAAGCCACTAAACTTCAGCTTCCAAAATCTCTCCTCTCCCCAGATTCCCAACAAACCTACTGACCCAATTAGTGTCTTTCGTCACTAATGAACGACATTAAATTTCCTCCTCATCCAACCGCACCGTAATCCAAAGTTCACAGATTTTTTTTAATTCGCGAGGTTAAGTAAGTTAAGTTTAATTTACACATCTTAATTCAGGGTGTATAGAAACACAGCTTGATTTATTAGGGTGTCTCCAGTGTTACAAAATACACAATGGCGGGCCTCGCAATTGCGAAGGACAATTTTAAGTTTGAACTAGACTTGGTGGGGTGCGCCAGGCCCATGCAATAGTGCAACGCTTGGGCGACGCGCGAGAGTCCCAATAGCAAGCTACTGTAATGGACCCTTCCCCTGAAGAAATTAATTTAATATCGTGTGGACCATTGGTCCACGTATCAGATATTAAACTGATAAGAACAGATACTACACTTGATCTTAGCCAAAAGGCCGAGAAAGGTATGCTTACTCTTTTCTCTTCTTTCTCGTTTTATAGGGCCATTCACTTCCGTGCTTCTTTGGTGAGGCCGATGTGGGATTTTTACAAACAGCTAGAGGGTGCCACGAACGAAGGCTGAGGGGTAAGGGTTAACAAAGGTAAAATGTTGGCGACAAAACGAAGATAATTTACATTCAAGTTGTACGAAAGGACTGCTTTTCTCATAAAAGAGAAACAAAGGCCGCTCGCGATTTGGGAAAAACGTATGGCCAAGGCTTGGTATCTGTGCTAACTATTTATGGTTCCAAATTGCTTAGAAGAAGTTAATCACGCTCATGCTCTAATTAGTCGATA